AAGTTTCGCTTTCACAACGAAACACGCAGCGCCTTCACGACATGGCGGCGGCAACAACAATACTACAGCGAAAATCAAAGTTACGCCTTCTTTCTTTGCGTGAACATTTGGGTGGCGTTATGCAAATCTTCCCACATCGTGACGTAGACATGTGGGGGCGTGTTAGAACGAGCCGTTTTAGGTAGGCCTGGTTGACTCTTAACTTTTATAAAGAATATCTCTTTGGATTTGAGACTTTAGTCTTTGCAACTTTACAGATCTTCTTTCTGCACCAAGAGCTTGTAACACTCCAAAGAGAAAGGAAAAATTGGAATCGCATCATACGACCCCTTTAATAGACCGGATGCCTCAACAAACTTACGATAAGGCGGCACAGAGAGCTTGGAAAGAGTGGAGAGCAGGACTCTTATAGAACTCTTTTCAGCAGCTATGTTTTTCCAACGACATGCCCATCTCGTGTCGCTAATTGCTGTCAGTCCCGCTTTAACTCCAAGCTCCTTTTGGTGCTGCTGGTATGCATGGTGAGTGCCTGGTTGTGAGAAAAATGCATACAGACTCTTGAGGATTTGAAAAAACATAGTTGCTGTGCGATTTACCTTGCAGGCATCCACCAAAACCAAATTCAACTTGTGGGCCATACAGTGCATGTACTCTGCAGATGGATGGTCCTGACGCAGTTTCTGCTGAACTCCGTTTACGTGACCGGACATGACAGCCGCTCCGTCATAACGTTGTGCAACGATGGGTAAAGTGTATATTCCACACACATCCAGAAAGTGCTTTACGTGTCCATAAATTCCAGTAGCATCCCCTCTTTCAGAACAGTCAACGAATCCTACAAATCTTTCCTTTATCTCCAACCTTTCTGTGTACCTCACACACACGGCCATTTGTTCCTCTTTAAAACTGCGTGCTTCGTCCACTAGAACAGTAAAAAAAACATTTTCTTCGATTCCGTGGATTATCTTGTCTTTGACTAAACAAGCAGCTATTTCTAAAAATTCATTTTCTGTGTCGGGGCTCGTTAGATTGAACGGGGCATTTAATCGAGTACAGAAAGCCTTGTCACGCCTGGCATACCAGTCGCACAGTTCCAAAAAGATGATTTCCAGAAGCGTCTCTCTCGTCGTGCCCTCTCAGTGCAAGTCCTTGTTTTCCTAAATAGAGCAATATGTCAACAATGGATGCTGCATATTCCCTATTGCCCTGTACTGTGGTCCTGTGAGATTCACTTAACTGTGCAGTGACTGAACCAGTAGCTTTGGTTTGCTCAAAGCAGTGCCATTGCTCTGTACAGTGATGATGTGGTACTCCGTCTGTGTGTTTCTGTAACTTTGCTAAAATATTCTTTCAGTCACGTACTCCATTTGCAATAAAAGCAGGATCTCTGTATGCACCACTAGAACTGCACTGAAACAATCTACATGGGAAGCAGAATATGGCATCTGCCTCTTTGCTGTATTCAATGAATGCATATGCCATGTTGTAATAGGACGAAAACGAGCGGTTCTGCTTACTGAACAGTGTTTTCGGGTATTCGGGCAAGTAGTGTTGTGATGGTCCAGTGTCCGTTGTGCCCAAATCCCCAGGTAGTGTTCTTTTAGTGGTAAGACATTCCAACCGATCTTCCCGTTCATAAGGCCTTTCGCTGCCAGACCTTCTGGCTGTATCTGTTGAAGACGAGCTCTCTTCTAAGTTTTTCTCTGATATTTGCACACTTGTTTTGGATGGGTAAGGGTTGTTGTTCAGATCTTCGCTGCATGAATTTTTTTTTGTTTTTAGGCGAGTGCCGGTTATGGGTGTCATAAAATATTTTTTAAAACCAATGAATTTGTATTTAATGTGATCAAAACTTAATAAAAGCAATGTAATAAATACATTACAATATTTTTATTTATTTAAAAAATCTTTATTGAAAAAACTGCATTAATGAATTTTCTCTGCGCGTGCGCATGCCATGCACAATACGTTTTCCACAGCTGCTGATCTAGAGACAGCCACGCTCATCATTTTAAATGTCTGTGGAAAATACTGATCCTGGACCAGCAGTTATGAGCAGCTTTTCTCTCGATAAACAACTAGAAACAGCAGGCAGTGGTTTGAGTGATAATATTCCACAGCGAATTTTATTTTGCTAGTCTCAAGTCCGTGGTCTGTGGCCAGGGGAAGGCTAAGCCTTACACACGCTCCGCCTATGCCTATCAGGTCCATGCCTAGTAGCTCAAATGGATGTGTAACCTGAAGAAAAGTAGCACAAAATACAATTTCATTCTGGATAAGTTTGTGAGCATGCTACTGTTTAAAGAAAATAGTTTGGCTTTAGTCAGTCAGAGGTTATTTGTCAACAATATCTACCTTTATCGGGGTATACTCCACCTCCTGTTTAATAATACGACCAGCTGCCTGACACACTGCACATTCTGACACCTGTTTAAAACATATATTCATAAAAAGATTAACTATCTGACAGCATTTCTCTTGTCACTTCAAGAACCTTTCTGCTCCCACATATTCCCACACACTTTACCCTCTGTAGTGTGTGATGTCATCATGTCTTTTGGAAACCTGCACAATGTTATTTAAAAACATTGCAAATATTCTATATTTTTTACCACAATCTATCCCTGCTGCAAATTGAGGGTGGGCCTTTGAAATTATTTCAGAAGACAGAGAAGCTTTGGAAGATGAGGATGAGGAAAAATGAATGCACAACAAACATGCATCAGGTGCAGAAACATACATTTGCAGCATAAATACAGTAAAACTCTTTCCCTCATGTTTTGTGTAGACTAGGATGAAAATTTGTTCAGTGGGGCTCATTTATCATTTCCATAAAATACTATATGTAATCTTTCCAAATTAGTTTA